GCCTACTCGTGTCTTGCTTTGCTGTGTAATTAAATTGTCCTTAACATTCCAGCAAATAGGTTTATGCTACAAACCTATCACTGAGCTCATACAAAAGACCAGGATGTTCAGAAGGCAGCACGCGTCACGCCGATCAACTCGGTGCACACGTGACCAGCACGGTTGGCTCTAATTTATTTTTACACCACCCAACAATCGAGATAAATAATCTGATCTTAACATGGAGTACTTCCTGTTTGTGTTTCTAAAACTCTAATTGGACGTCAGCTTTGTAATTTGTTTCTTTGTCTGTTGATCTCTTCATGCTGATGTTGTTCCCCATCATCACCTCGCTCTGTCCCACACACAGAGTGTGAGGTCACAGTGACCTCAGCCTCGAATGACACGTTGATCTATATTTAGACTGAACATCGACTCCACCCCCCGCCCGGCAGTCGTCACTTACCTGAACATCTCTGAGGGACGATGCTGCAGCACAAACCAGCGTCAGACTTTAATGAACAGAAACACTCTGATGTGAGTCCATCCTGCGATCAATAAATCAATACGCTAGGATCAGTGACCCCAGCATGCCATCACATTGTGGCGCACGAGCTTGAGCTATGAACTCAAACAGCAGAAATTTTGTTTTGCTGATATCACTGTAGGCGCCCTGACACCTGGACACCAGCGTCCTTGTTGCCGCCATGGCGTCTTTTTTTACACGCAGACATGGCTGTGCTCTGATGAGGGGGCGGAGGGCTACGCCAACACCAACCAGCTCCAGATAAGTGAAGCCATCACTGCAGCACCAAAGCCTGCAGTTCCTCTAACGTCCACCAGAGGGACCACAGTGAGTCGTTAAAGCTTTGCCGCTCTTTGGTCTCTGTAGCCAAAAGTACGGCGATTCTGTACTGAAGTACAAGTACTGATACTGGCGTTACAAAATACTCTGATAAAAGTTGAAGTCAAAGTGAAAGTGTACGAGCTCTGTACTCAACTACTTTGCCTCCACGCCTGGCTCAATAATCATGTCCAGGCTGTGACCAGCTGAGCTGACCTGCTGCTGCAGCTCTTTGTGGATGTACACAACTGAACAGGATGTAACCCAATGCTTCCAGTCCCCACACCAACAGTACACAGTTTATACAAAGTTAGCATGAAGGTGGGATTTAATGACTGAATCTAAGCATCATCAGCTTAGCTTCATCTCTGCTAAAACTCATGTAAGCTAACTCTGATCACCACAGCCACTGTGTGCTGTCCAACACGGAGCTTTACTGTAAATTCACCAACTAAGCCGTTTATCATTCACCAAACTGCAGAAAAGTTTCATGCAGCCTCTGACTCACACGTCAGCTCAGTTTGTTTTGCAGGACATAAGACAGAAATATAACATCCCATCACACAGAGCTGTAAGTGAGCATCCTTCCCTTTAACTCTAAGCTCTCTTCTTCCTCTCCTGTCTTTCTTCCCTGAGTGAAGTTAGCTCTCCCTGTGAAATCTGCAGCTGCAACACATTATGAGTCAAACTGCACACAAACAGTTTGTGTGCTGATGTTTGTTGATGTGATAGAAACATTTAGTTTGAAGTCAAAAGTTATCTGAAAAATAAATACTCAAGTAAAGCACAGATATGCAGAAGTACAGTGAGGAAGTACGAATACTTTGATACTTCCCTGCTCTGTCTGCAGCTACTCCAGTTTAGCAAAGCTAGCTAGCTTTAGCTCATAGCTCTGCACACACTCGTCTAAATGTGGAGGTGCTTCACATACCAGAGGGTGGAGAATACGTCCATCTTTGCAGTGTGTAGCTAACTCTCAGGTAAACGTTTCACCTGTTCAGATGAGTAATATGCTTGTGTGTGTGAACCGCTCGTCTCTGATTGGCTCGTGCGGCGAGCGCTCTGACCTTCGTGTCCCATCTTGACGGTGTCCACTGGGGAGTTGTTGTAGATGAGGACGGCCGTGGCGTTGTACGCAGCTGCCTTCAAGATCTTCTCCTTAAAGGTGCAGTTACCTCTCTGCATCAACGCCACCCAGTGGACGCTGCGGGGCGGGACCTGGAAGTGAGTGTTTGGGTCGCATCCCTGCCGGTCGACCACTGAGGAGAGGAAACCAAAGTCAGTTTAATGAAGTGTAACTAAAACGACTCAAAGGTGAGCTGCTCAACATTCGATCAATAACTCGTCTTTAATCGAGTGAATTTTCCCAGATCAAACAACGATGATCAATAAAAACACTGAGACTTCAGATTAATCAATACATAAACAATAATAACAAGAACAAAGCTGGCTGCTGATCCGCGTGTCATCAGTTAAAACACATTAAACCCCCAAACAGGCATGTCGACACATTACGGGTCAATCACTTCAGATGTTCATGTGAAGCTGATGAAAACAACAAAAATCAGCTGATCTGTGGGCTCAGACCCACGTGTGGTCCCCCCCTGCTGGGTCAACTTCAGACTTTTTGAGGTTTTCCCAGGTTTTCAGTTAATTT